CCAGCACAAATCCAAAACACAGCCCCATACCAGCTACCACAACCAGCACACACCCTCACACAGCAACGCATCCTCAGAGCAGACCAGTGCACAGCCCCTCGCACTCCCCGTGCAAACCCCGTTAGGAGCCCAGCTCCTCGCTGAGAGGCTGGAGGGGACAACAAAGTCAAGTTTTCATAGGCACCTAGATTTTCTTGTAAGGACATTTGAGGGGCAGATGTTTTACAGCATTTAAACACCTAAATTTAGTCCCTGGCAGGGAACTCGTATCATTCTCAAAAGCACCCTGACCCCGTAACTCTAGATTTCAGCATATATTCACTGGCTTCAGGGAAACTTAAGACTCTCAGAGCACATAAACGCTTCTGAGAGGTTTGCCCTGAAGCCACCTCACGTGGAAAGCGTGTGTGTTAGGAAACACGTGGTCCGTGTGCAGGAGCAGGAACGGCAACGGCAAATGCTGCTGCTTTCTCGTTAAGGGGAAAGAGAGTTTTCAAAGCAATCGAAATAGCAACGTGGCTCTGTTACAACTAATGCCTTGGGACCTACAGGTTTCAAAGCACCGGTTACCCAGCGGCCAAACGAACAGTGCTGATTATTTGATCGTTGTCTTTAGAGCTGCCTTGTCAGCTCTGAACAGCGGTGAGTGTGGCACCGTGACTCATGTCTCCTCAATGTTGGCCGCTTTAGGAGAAGAAACGGCTATGGAAAAAGCTTTTTACCTAACCCCCTCTACAGACTGGGTGATATCCTGAAGCATGAAGCTTTGTGTTCCTTATGTGAAAAACAAACAAAAAAAAAGAATATATTTTCTGGTCGTATTGGTGGATGTTTCCCTTATATACACGAAGGTCTAACACAGACAGAAATCTTAGTAAGCTTTTAACTAGTAGGATTATTTGTGGCAATGAGTTCAGCAAGCTAATTAAGCTTAATTTTTTACAGCGATGACATTTTTGCTTCCCAGCATGCTGGGCCGTGACAGGTTTTTCTCTCCTTTGTTTACCGTCATTTTCTCATACTTTGCTCCAAAGCTATAATCCTATATGTGATGCTGAATATTTCTGCTTTAAAATTAACTCTTTAGAGGTAGCACCTTGGATTTATCTAGGGTGCAGTTGCATCAAAGTAATAAAATAACAGCACTGCTAACAAATAACCACCAATTTGCACGTCTATGACATTTTCACTCACATAACCTAAAGCGTTATTTGTACCACGATTCCCACTTTTGGGGGGAAATTTTAAAAAAAAGACAATATTTGAATACGCTAGGCAGGATAAGAGAGGCTGAGAATTGTTTTCAGGGCTATTATAGTAAAATTACAAAAGGTACAAGGCCCGTTTGGTACAAATGTCACTGTTGGGGTGTGCAGGCTTGATGGTAGAATCATAGAATAGAATCATAGAATCACTGAGGTTGGAAAAGACCTTAAGATCAGCTTACAGAGTGTAATTTTAAGTAGTTGTCCACTTCAATTTATTTTTTTTCAGAGTCCTTGTAACACTTCCAACCTCTGATCCACAAAATCCAGAAGTCATAGAATCATAGAATCACTGAGGTTGGAAAAGACCTCTAAGATCAGCGAGTCCAACCATCGACCCAACACCACCACCCACTAAACCATGTCCCTAAGCGCCTCATCTACTCGTCTTTTAAATACCTCCAGGGATGGGGACTCCACCACTTCCCTGGGCAGCCTGTTCCAACGTTTAACCACTCAAGGTTTCACCTTCCAGTGGGACAGGTCTAATTGGCAGGTCAGAAGGGGCGAGGAAATCGCAGAGGTCCTCCACCCTGCGGGACACCCTCCAGTAACCATCAATAAATGCTTTCACAGTTTCGTGCTTTTCCTTTCTTGTGCTCCTCAAGGGCCTGAGTGAGCTGACAGCAATCGCAGAGGAGAGCCAGAACGAAACCCAAAGCTCTGCAAAACCCAATCCATTTACTTGCCAACCAACCACTTTCGGGACAGATAAAGGAGCACGTTTCTCCCTCTGCTTTCGCAGTCGGTGTAATTTATCAAAAGCACACTCACCGCTTGGAAACCGCTGCTCTCACACCCGCTCGCAGAGCTGGCTACCGATGCATATACACACAAAGCCACTGAAGGACCCCCCCGGGTCCGTGTGGGTGCATGTGCACCCCAAGGGCTCTGTACACGCACAGCTTTGTACATACGCGTCGGGCGCCGCTGGAGAGATGCGAGGCTCGATGGAAAAAGGCAGATGCTTCCAGCAGACAGGCAGACAACACTATGCGTGGTCCCTTGGGAAGACCGTGTGAACCCCATCCCAGCGGGGCGTGAAATCCTGCCTCCACGCAGCGTGCAAGTGCTGAAAGCTTTCTCCTTTTGCTTGCTGGGGTTTTTCTTTTTCCTTTGCACGTTTTATACATTTGTAATCCTCATAATGCTTTCTCATTTTTCTCCAGGGGTAAAGTAAAGGCTGTTAGTTTCCTCTTACCAATGGATATGTCATCATACGCTGAAAAGCAAGGTTCCCTCAAAAGCCCACAAAATCAGAGCACAAAACAGTTAACCACCATCGCTGAAAAGGATATGTGAGCTGGTGAATTTGTACAGGCCCGTTGATTCTCGAGATAAATTGGCCTTAAATGATAGCTGTGTGTCAGGTTCCTTTCCTGCAAAACACTTTGGCAGGATGCCTGCAGAGAATCACCCAGCCTGTGTTTCGGGTCACTGCCCTGACGTTTAGCATGGAAACGGAAGCCACGACAAAGCCGGCTGGAAGCCCATACACCGCGATGAAGCCACACGATAGCAAAGGTACCTCCACAAAGTAGCTTCTGCGCAACATGTCTCAAGGATCCCTCACCTTAGGACTGCTGTTAACAGGGTGTTGAAGCTGGTGTTGATGTGTTTGTCACGAAAAGCGGAAACCGTGTCACCGCTTGCGTTTGCCGATTCCCTTGCCAGAAAGGTATTCGATGCAAATGACAAAAAAAGAGCTATTAAAGAGCCTGTGAGGTTTCCTCTGTATGTAAAGCTTCAAAACTTCACGGTACTAATACAGCAAAGTTAAGAAGGTGTTACAGAGTCAGCTAACGTTACTCTGAATTTCCGCAAAGCTTGGCAATGACTGTTTATGTCCATTCGGGGTTCACCTCTAAGGGAGCGCAGGGGAGAGTAAGTACTAATCAGTATGAAGATGTGACTATAAATCTGTTTCTGACTTGGTGTGCTCATCCAGCCAGAGACTAAAGGCTGTACACCAAGTCAAAACAGGAAGAATTGTGAATATCAGAATTTTTCAGGAACGGTTTCTCAGCACGGCTCGGCTCAAAAAGCATTAGCAGAAACTCAGCAAACAGGTGGAAAATAAATGTGAGAAAGAACTACAAACAGCTTGTAAAAAATGAGGAGTGCTTGTTAGTTCCTAGTCATATGAGTAAAGATAGTGTCCCACATGTTTATTTTGATCACAAGTATTTATGGAACCAAAATACTGCACGTTGCTATTTCTTTATGTACAGGCAGCACTGATGACTGAATGTTGTACAGAGAATGCATGAACAGTAGATGTTTGTACCGATAACTTTAAGGCAGATTTTCATCTCATTGTCTACTCAAACTCTTGAGCTTTCAAAAGTGAAAGCAGAGACCTGGTGGAAAAAAATCCCTTCTGGATTTTCCGTGACGTTGTATACTTGTATAAAAATGTGTGGCCCTTCTTTCGTTTTGAAATTCACCATGTTCTGTTTATTCAAGTACATTTTTAATATATTCTCACCAATGAAGTAATAATTTCAATTTCACTGCTATTTTATTGGTGCATTTTGATGTTCAGCTTGGGTCCATACAGAGTTGCATTGTAATGTCAGAAGTAATGAATCGATGACTTCCAGCAAATGAGGTTACAGTTTGGAAAGTTAACTGAACAGCTCATTTTAGAAGGCATTTACAGGGAAGTCCTTTTTAAATGTTTTAAAGAAAGCTTCATTGTCAGAAACTAGACAGTGCATATGTGTTCAGTTAAGTACTTAAATCCAGTTGATTTCACTTAGCAAAGTAACAACAAACGTCTTTGAAAATCTGGCCCCTCGACCTTTAAGGTACACAAGCTTTTGACAATTCATGTTTGAACACCAGATTTAATGGGATTTGGGAATCCATACGCTTTAGACAGCTTTCAAAAGTCTCAACTTTTAAGTTTTCTAAGCCTCAGCTTCCATGAAGCAGCAGTGGGAATTCTTTTCTCCCACCCTTTTTGTGTAGGATAGGTCAGCGACACCAAGACTGCGTATTAATAAGCATATGACAACGTCAGTTGTAGCGGGCTGCTGATTCTGATGTCACACAAACACATATAACTTTGTGTATGGTCAAGAAATTAAACTCACTGGACGTTTTTTAGAGGTATAATGGTCTTAAACTTTGTGTACTTACAGGGAAAAAGAACTGAAAAGGTGGAAGGGGAAAGAGGGAAAGGAATCAAAGTAGTCATCGACAAATGGCAGTCAGTATATTAATGGAAAGATTTATTTTTTAATATTTTTGCAGTCTTTAGCAGTGCCCACAGATTTAAGAACACATGATGATGCACAGGCACGTTAATTTTTAAAAGCAGTTGTGCGGATTTGACCTAGCTTTGCACCTCCAGGAGAACCAGATTGTAGCAGAGGCCACAGAGAAACCACTGAGCACATCAGTTTTACCACAGTACAGCACAAAGTGACTTACCATGGAGCACTTACTGGCAATTAAAACATTCCAATATTAAACATTCATAGATTACTCCGTGCAAAAAGGGCAGCTATAAGCAAAGCGAGTGTTAAAATTTGGACAGAGAGATGCAGGCAGCTATTACGCCATGGTCCTTTTCTTTCTTCTTCCCAAGAGGATCCATACAAGTTCAGAGGAGCTCTAAAACCTAAAACCACTCTGGAATATATCTGTATTAAACCCTGGAATATATACTAAGCCCTATTCACTGATGGCCAGGCTTGTTGGACGATTTCCAGTTGGAAATTCTTCCTTTCGGAGAGGTGGTCAGTGGTATTCAGCCACGCAGGTACGGGACTGCAAGAGCAGCTGAGACAGCAAGAGGTTCCCTCCTGCATTAGCACCGGCCGCTGAGAGATGTACGCTCCTGTGTCACACTTGTGCTTGGGGCTAAGTGGCTTTGTATCTCCGTAGTGACAGCCGATAAAGACGGAGTCCACCACTGCCATTTGTTAAACGACGTGTTCTCCGTTCCATCAGCACGACTAGTCAAGGGTAGTGAAACGCGTCTCTAGGTTGGAGACAAAAAAGTCTTGTCAGAGTTGATTCTCGACTTAAATCAGTGGGATAGTGCCGATTTAACTGTTACTTCACATTTACATCATAGTAAGCGAGAGAGAAATTGGGTATTATTTTTCTTTAGGAAAGTCTTTTTAAAGCTATGGTCATAATACAGAAGCGCGAAGCCATGAGCACTGGAGCGGTGGGGAGGAGTTACTAAGGATGAAGGTGAAATTTAGACGTTGTGTGTCTGAGGGCAGCACACAGTCAAATGTTTAAAATCTTGATACCCAACTTAACAATAATAATCCTTAGATGCATCTTCAACCTCCAGTAGATCTCGCCCTCGCCAAAATAACGAACAGTGCCTAGACAGCAAAATCCTTATTTATAAATCAATCGATCAATCAATCAATCCTGCCATTCATAAAACTGCACTCTCCCAGAACGGTGCTGCTCAGCCGTACCGTGGAAAGTGCTCATGTTAAAGGGTGCGTCTACATCAGCATTTCAGTCAGAGTCAGGAGGACCCTCCCGAGTGAATTTTCTGGTCAAACCCACTTACCGTACTTTATTTCACATTGTAGAGTGGTCCCAAAGCACACGAACGGGTCTCTTCCAGACGAAACTAAGTCAGAGGATGTGCTTATAAGGTGCTCCAAAAGCTAACAGGTATTCGGTGCGTGGGACCACACTAGCAAGCCCTCCGAAATACCTATGGCGTGGACAACAGCACTGACGGTTTCGCTCTACACGTCCTCCTCTACTGGTCTGCGCTACTTGCTGACGTAGACAGAGCTGTAGAGCACCCAGACAAGGGAGCTACTGTCTCAGAGGTTTAAAAAGAAAATCTAACCAGGTGAAATTTCATCTTGTTATACTACAGAGAGGAGGAGATGCCTTTCATCAGTCTTACCTCTCTGTCTGGTGTTTAAAGACCCTCACTCTTGCCGCAGCCACGGAGGTGGAAATGTGATGCTCCAGACTGTAACAGAGGAGTAACATTATCATCTTCTCCAGTGAGTTCTTGCTCAAAGTTCAAATGGGTCTCATGCTTGCATCCTTAGACAACAAATCCACACCCAAAGGTAATAAATCAGCGTGCGGGGCGCATCTCCTGTCAAAGTCACCCAGTACAAGCACATTCCACCTACTCCAAGCTACGTTTATACGAGTGAGAGCATAATTTATGATGCGCCAAATTGTCCACAAGCTTTACATCCATTGCATTTTTGCTCCTACATCTTAAATCCCTGACAACTGAACTTCAATTTTTCTCCGCGATTTCTGATCAGGCGTAATCTAAGAATGTATCAGCATGGAAGTAATTCAGCTGAGGAGCCTCTGACACCAGGTTAAGTGATGTTGATCTTTAACGCTGCTATTTTCAGTGACGTTAATGACATTAATTCCAGCACGGTCAGGCTCCATCTGTAGTCCTGAAACTTTTTGTTTAGCTGGGGTGAGAAAATGAGAAATAAACTTGCAACTCGTTTGAAGGTCTCAAATAGTTCATAGGCCTTGAGCAGTCCCTCAGTGTTGTGATGAATTCGATGCTACGTAACCTCACTATGTGCACGTCCTTCTACGATCACCTAAGCACCGCGTGGACAGCTGGTTCAAAGGTCGCAGGTGTTGTTTTTACTGTTGGGTGCCACAGAGTACACGACTTTTTTCTCTTCAGGATGGAGAAACACAGGTTGTATTAGATCTATTCTGCACTTCCACCGCACAATGCCTTTACCCAACAAATGACCCGTTAAGAGATTAAACCGTCATCGCAGTTAAAATGTAGATCAAACTCTGCTGACCTTACCCGGGGAAGTTGTTGGCTGTGCTGAAGTCAAGACAGATGGTCACTTCAGGGAATGTTTCTTTTATGGCAAGTGCTCGTTTGAGTAGGAGTATTTCTAGCTGGATGAGTCACCTCTTTCTCCATTGCTGCGCGAGATACCAAGAAGTGATTTTTACATAGGGATATTCAAAGACGTGGCAGAGGCTGAAAAATACATCTTCAAAGCATCTCGCGGTGGTTTCCTTCTCCACTGGGAATACTATATGGCACACGTAGATTGATTAAAAAAAAATATCCTCCATTGTTTTCTTTTTGCTGAAAACTGTGATGAAATGTCTTTTTTCTTTTTTTTCTTTTCTTTTTTTTTTACAAAATCATGTGGTACTTGATATACAAAATCAGTCCCACAACAGCAAAATGCACTAAATCATAATAAAATTGCTCTGTTTAATGTAAAAAGTAAGAAACTTAGAGTAAAGTGCAAAAATTAGAGCGAACGTTCCTAATCTGTGCCTCTTCAGTAGCAGGTATGACTCTTCCCCGGTTTAGAGGACAAGGACCATCATCTGCCTGCTGGTTGCCACGGAGACTCCCATCGCTTTTGGAATCATAAGTTTTGCCTGAAAGGAAACACTCCTTCAGCGTGAGTTTTTAATGACCGTAGAGGTTTCTGTTTGTCAGCACACCATATACTAGATTAACTACCACGTCTAAGCAGGTGGGAGGGAAGGGAGTAAAATATTTTCTAGTAATCAGTGACAACATATTTAGGCTGTATAAAATCCACAAAACACGTAAATAGAATTACAAGACTCGCCGCAGCAGATTAGACTGTCATGGCATCAAATCCGTTCTCTCTCTTTCAGTATCAGCTACTTCAAAGGAGGATGAACTTTGGTCGCAGAACCTAGGCATGGCAATAAATCCTTCTGACTCCTGGAGGAGACTGGCTTGAGGACTGCCAGGCTGCACAGCCAGTGAGGTCTCTCTTTCTCAGGCTTGAGTCGATAAGGGCTTCCCCATAACTACAAATAATGACAGCTTTTCTAGGAAAAGATGCGTACACGAACAGTTGGGGTCTGTCCATGTGAAAAGCTGTCTGACATTTTACCCGCTCGTGTTTGCACTGCCAGAAGGACTCGGGGGTTTGACAGCTATGTCAGCTTCTTTCTCCCTAGTGCGCAGCTAACACCCGGGATTGCTCTGAAGGTGAATTTGTTTGGCCCTAAACAGTGTGCAGAACGGTCAGCTTCAAATTTCTGGCTTGAGTAAAACAATGGTTATTCAGAAGAAGAATATAATGAAGCTGCAAGATTAAGCCTCAGTTACTTCCTAGTTCCGTTGTCTTTGCTAGATGGTAACTAAATAACTACCTGTTAAATCCGCAATTTTCGCTTGATTTCTTCTTTTGAGGCTGTTTTGTGCATCTGTGGGGCCATCAATATACTTCATTGCAACGGCTGGGGTCTGGTCCTTCTCTGGCTGAGTCTGAGTAACTGAAAGAAGAAGAGAAAAGGATATTTAACTGAGTTGTATTAATGTTCATTTGTTCAAGGAGGGAAAGATATGTCGAGTTGATTCTACCTGGCTGATGGCAACTTGGTATTGTTTCAGTCCTACCTTCTTGAAAGGACTGAACAGATTCATGGCCAGAATCTAAGTCTTTCATTGGCCTTCCCATAATCTCATTCTCAGTTGCAGTCTTATTTCTAATGAGGAAGTATGTGTGCATTTTCCCTTTGCCTTTTACTTCTATTTCTCCTCTTCCAGTCATCTCAAAATTCTTGTATTTTAGGCATCTAAAATATCAGAAGCAAAATGACACGTGAAAATTCAAGATTAGCAAAAATGATACTGGTGTTTTAGAAGAGCTATTGTAATCGAAGTAATCAAATCACAACAGTCCAGGAAAAGCGTATTGATCCGTGAATAACTGAGGGTTTGTTTCAACTGTTTATTCAAGCCTGCTGTGCTTTTATAGCTTTACACGTACAGCCTGATCAAAAATCAATGGATCACATAGTCAAATACTTCAGTACGGTGGAGGGTTCTTATTGACCAGTAAATAGAAATTAAGAACTGAGGTAGCCAGTGTCAGTTAGACAGAACTATCTCCAGTCATTTCATCAGAGAAGGCAATCAGGCTCATCAAGCATGATTTACTCCTGGTAAATCCAGACTGGCTATTCCCAATTGCCTTCTTGATGTGTCCAAAAATGGTTTCCGAAAGGATTTGGTTTTCACTGGGACTGACATGAGGCTGACCAGCCTATAGCTCCCAGCCTGTCCTCCTTGCCATTTTTCAATATAGGTTAACATCTGGCTTTGTTCAGTTGCTACGGTGCTGATCTTCATGACCTTCCCAAGATGACAGTCAGCAGCGCTGTAATGCCATCACCCAGCTCTCTCATTACCTTTGGAGGCATCCCATCTGCTCCCATACACTCCTACAGACTGAGGTTTCTCAAAAGACCCCTGATCTGATCCTCTTCCCATACTGGTACTTCACCTACTCCTTGAATCCTGACTCTAGGTGCAGGGACCTTGAAGACCTCGTCAGTGAAGACCGAGGCAAGAGAGGCCTTGAGTAACTCAGCCTTTATTCAGGGCACTGTCACTAAATCACCTGCCACAGCAGGTCCACGTTTCCATTTATACTTTTCTGCTCACGTAGCAGAAGCTCCTCTTGCTGCCTTTGAACCTTCCTTGCCCATTTCAATGCTAGCTGAGCTCTGGCTTTCCGAGTATCATTCCTATGTGCCCAGACAATGTTTTTGTACTCCTCCTCTGTAGCCTGTCTTCGCTTCAACCTCTTGCATACATATTTGAGGCATACATAAAATTCTTGAAAATGTAGTATTTAATTTTTAGTGGCATGAGTTTTAGGAAAGTAAATTATTCACTGCACAAATAGGATAGTGGGTTATGCAGTTAATCCTTAGTAAGTGCAAATAGAACTGTTACGCCACAAATTGTTGTGCTCAATCAGAGAGATTTTAAAGCTTTTGTTACGCAGGACGTCAAATTAAATGTTCTGTCTTTCTAGCATCTACGTCACTCTATTGGTACTTCCAAATAAGCTATCACAATTATTTTTTTCCCATATTTTGCTCTCTAGGATCGAGACTCTCAAATCTCTGTCTCCATATACAAGTGCTTTTGAAATAATCAGAACAAATAAAACTCTTCGTAAGCAGTGATTTTTCTTTAAGTAAGCTGCATAAATCAGTGACTGAAGACAGCATCATCTACCCTGAAAGCTGCAGCTGCCAAGGCCAGTGGGTTTTAGCACAGCTTTTAAAAGGCAAAGTTTCCATCATAGTTACTCACTGATAGGCACTGGAGCTTAGATGAATTTTACTCGGGACACCGTGACTCTCCATCCGGGAAGCTATATTCACCGTGTCTCCAAACAAGCAATAACGAGGCATCTTTTCTCCAACAACTCCAGCCAAGACAGGACCGGTATGGATCCCAACTCTAATCTTCACAAAGACATAAAAACCACCCCCACCCCCCCAGATGTCACTTGTTATTTAAGATCTTTCTTAATGCTATCCAGCCACCTAAAAGTTCATCCTAACGCAACACGGGACACCAGTAAAATATCAAATATCCACAGGGAGAGACTCTTAGTGAAGGTACCCATGTGGACCTTGCCCAAAGTCACAGAGGAGTCAGAAGAAGCTCTTGGATGTCCTCTTGCAATACGTTAACCAGAAGCCCAACCCAAGAAGCAGACAGCCACACATGCATCTTTGCGTTAACAACTTACTTGGATAGGATTTCCAGAAACTGGGTTCTGCACTCCTTTAGCTGCTATTATCATCCCCAAGGCAAAGTTAGCAACTCGCTCAGCATGAGTGGGTACAGGCACAGGGACCCCACCTACTACCATATAGGCATCTCCAATTGTCTCCACCTTTAATTGAGAGGGACAAGCACATGAGCATGCCATATATATCTTGCTCAGGTTAATGCTTTGCTCTTTGGGGCTCTTCTCACCTGCACCAACTCCCCTTTTCTTCTAAAAGATGTTTCCAATCACTAAAAAGCTCTAGCACGTGCGAGTTTCCTTGAGACGGGGATCCTTTCCTTGACTCCACACTAAAAATTTCAATACATTCTGTCCCTGCTTACTTGACCCATTTTAGGTGTCAGCGTGAGAGACCCTAAGGAGTAAGGGATGCTGTGAAAGTGTCAGGCTTTTTGCCTTCCTCTTACCCAGGGCAGACCTATATGCAAAGAGCTGTCCCCGGGCACAGACTCCTGAGCCAGGAGGTTATCCGATAGCTGACTGCTATTAATGAGCTCTAACTCACAATTGGTGTTAAAAGCGTGTTTCTTTTTCAAAAGAGATTTCTTTTTTAAAAAGTCACAATAAAGCAAGGGAGCCTATTCACTGGTGATTATTAATAAGGGCTTCACATGAAATTAAGAAAACTCCAATCTCCAGGATGTCAGAGAATGCAAAGTGTGAACTAAGCAGCTCGGGAGCATCCTTCCTTACAACCAGCTGTTTTCCCACAACACGCTGCAGCCTGTGAGACGAACACTGAAGGGTTCGTTCTCCTTCAGGCACCCAGTCTCCTTGAAGTGCCTGACAAGGCACCTGAGAAATACTCTGGGGTTTGTCCCTGTACCAGAGATTTTGCTGGGAATAGAATAGGCCTGTTTGAAACAGAGAATTCTCAAACCTTTAAAATTCACTGTAAAAGACTGTTACACGGTAAGGAAATTTTCTAAACTCCTCTTATGAGACTTCATTGTTATATTTACCATCAGTAAATAAGAGATCAGTTTAAATTAGATTCATTGGATTTCTTAAAAATGAACACCAATAGGAGAGCGGGAACATAATTTCGTCTTTGGGTTCGTTCATTAACATGATGACTTAAAACTGTTTTCACTGTAAAAGACTGTTACACGGTAAGGAAATTTTCTAAACTCCTCTTATGAGACTTCATTGTTATATTTACCATCAGTAAATAAGAGATCAGTTTAAATTAGATTCATTGGATTTCTTAAAAATGAACACCAATAGGAGAGCGGGAACATAATTTCGTCTTTGGGTTCGTTCATTAACATGATGACTTAAAACTGTTTGGCGCATTAGTCTCGAAAAATGTGTTCCTGTACATGCCTTCTATCAGACAGCCAACCCCACAGTCATGCCAGCAATTTTCTGTAACAAATTAAAAACAACTGTAAAAAGCTACTAATGCAAATAGATACCCTAATTATTTTTCGGCCGTGGTAGGAGATTTAATTTAACAAGATTTATTCATAACTTCAGATGTTTATAAGCTTGGGCCAAGTTTCTTTGATCCATTTCAATATTTCATTTCTTTCTCAATTCCCTGAAATAGTAATCTTGTCCTCCCTCTCTGGACCCTAGCAACTTCCTTCAATATTAATAGGAGTTATATACAGGCATCAAAAGGAGATTATTACAGTGACAGATAATTTACTCATGATGGATGATTTAGATAGAATATGACACTAATTTATCCTGAGAGCTGTTGGCCATATCCTGGATGCTTCAATTATTGAATACAGTTTCCTTGCCAAGGCAGAAATGCTTCTGATTTCCCAGTACAATTTATTGCGGGATGAACTGCATGCCTCGCCTGAGCAAGGAATGAATGAGATTTGGATTTCACCCTTCACTATTTCTGCCTTCCTAAATATTTAATGTGCTGGGGACAGACAGAAACTGAGGACTTGCTCTTCAGCTCCTCAAATCTGGGTAGCTCTGGAGATGTTAATAACGCTATTATTATATGTCAACCAGGGCTCTGATCCTTCCAGCACGGTTTGGAGACAACACGTACATTACAGTCTAGATCTAATCAATGCTCTTCGGGGTCAGCAGGAGATCTATACCATTGCCTAAGATCTCTCTCCACGAAGCAAAACAAAGCCTAGGTATTATCTGGGTATTGTTTATAATGTTATTTCCCACCAAAGGAGACACTTAATGACATAGTGACCTATTTACAACAGGTTGGAATAAAAGAACTAGGAAAATGATTCAAATTGGTCCATAAACTAGGATATCCTGTCCTGTTGGGTAGACATGTGAGAGAGGAGAGAGAGGTGTATGAAAGAACAGCCGTTCTGGTGTTAGCGTTGTGGAAAGAGGCTCTAGCCCATGATAGAAGTTACATTCCTGTCTGAAAATTTTAAACATATTTAATCACACCTCTGCCTGTTTTTTAATTTCTCTGTGTGGCCACTACAAATGTGCAGTATTTTATTGTTTATCAAAAATCATGCTGGGGGGAGAGGATTGAAGTGCATTTAAAAACAAAAAAACCCAAAATATCAACAAGAAAATCTTTTTCCAGACTATTTCTACAGCCTTTATCGATCAGTCCATACCTTGTACACATCATGCACCGTGGTCAGTCTGTCAAATCGCAGGTACATTGAATTTAACATGAGAACTATCTGAATAGGCTCACATTGGGCACAAATGTTGGTAAAGGTCACAACATCGCTGAACAATATAGTGCACTCCTTGAACTCTCCTGTGAGCAGAAAGACCAGCAGTAAGTACTTGTAATGGCTGGGCAATCGCGACATCTGTCTGAGACCTGTTTGCAAAGATTACTTTCTCATCATTCTTTTAGGAATATGACCTATCAGTTGTAACACTCATATACGGGTGCTGATATGAAAGAGAGATGTCGATATAAGAGTGTATCCAATGTAAGAACCATCACACATCTCAAACGGTCCAGACATTTGAATACATCCATTTGTCCATCCATATTCAGGATATACTTAGCTCTTTACCTCTAACTTCATGTATGTGCTTACTAAAGGGAATTTAAGCATATTCTTACTTGCTATCCTTAATAACAATGGGAATCATGACGATTCTAGGTTTATAGATAGGATCGAGGAACTAAGAGAATTTTCTAGGAAAGACCAATTTCTTTATTCCTTTCATTTTTGAGCTCTCGTTTCCCTGCACACCCACGTTAAAAACAAAATCTCAGTTTACTGTTGAAACGCTGAATTTTGTTCCCTGAATGGGCAGCTGCTACCACCTTTCACCTCCTAAGGAACAATTTTGGCAAATAGCTTCCAAAGCTTTGTTTGAAAGAATAGTCTAATCTTTATTATCAGCGAGATTAAGGGTCTGTGGTCCTCCTCCTACCTATGAATGTCACCAAGCTGAGAATGTACTCCACGATAGTGGCAATGGGGCTGTGCCAGCACCCCGGTCTCTCTATCACCATCACCTGGTGCATGAATCATGCATCACGAATGCATCCTGTTCATTCACCTGCCTCGACTCGCTTCCCCTCTTTCAGCTGGTTGGCCACGTGCTGAGGAAGCATGGCGTAGAGCAGAGCTTCAGTCTTTTTCTTCTCTTCCTCCAGGTGCTTCGACAGTACCCGCAGTTCTTCCTTCTTCCTCTCCAGCTGGTTAGAGAGCTCCATCTCTGCCAGTCGCTGCTGATTGAGAAGAATCAAATCCCTGGTCACGTCGTGAGGTGCAATGTCTGCAATGTGCATCTGTCGCTCCTCCAGTTCATGCAAGGTGCGAAGCAAAGGTGAGCAGAGATAGAGCATGCACTGCAGGGACTCCATCCAGATCATCTGGCCTGTTTGAAAGAAGCGTCGGTAAGAGTTTTCAGCAGCTTGGACTTTCACGTGATGCTCAGTATTACTGATGTTAATTTTAGGGGATGAGTTCTAAGGACAGTGGCTTTTTGTAGGGTCTGGGTCGTCAAAGGAATTACTCTGTTTCCTGGAATTAGAGGTGAACTTGTTTGGAGGAGGTACACCAGCCACATTAAAAAAATTCAGGACCCAGAAAGCAGTCACTCATTGCAATTGCTAGGCAGAGCCCAGCCATGCTTCAGGTCCCTCCTTTTTACGAGGAACCCCAGTGCTCACAACATCTCTCTTCTCTCCTCTCCCCTCCTCTCCCCTCCCCTCCCCTCCCCTCCCCTC